ATCTCCATCAAAATACCAACGACATACTTCATAGAACTAGAACAAATACTCCAAAAGTTTATATGGAACCAAAAAAGACCCCAAATAGCCACATCAATCTTGAAAAAGAAGAACAAAGTAGGAGAAATCACAATACTGGATATCAGGTTATACTACACTGCCATAGCAGGTTATACTACAATGCCATAGTAATTGAAACAGCCTGGTACTGGCATAAGAAGAGGCATACAGATCAATAGAACAGAACAGAGAACCATGAAATTGACCCAAGTCATCATTATGCTCAATTAATACTTGACAAAGGTGGCAAGAGCATACAGTGGAGTAAAAGACAGCCTCTTCAATAAATGCTGTTGGGAAAATTGGACAGCTACATGCAAATTTTTTTTTTGCACCATACACAGGAATAAACTCAAAATGAATAAAAGACTTAAATGTGACTCGTGAATCCATAAAAATCTGAGAACAAAATGTAGGCAACAAAATTTCAGGCATCACATGCAGCAGAATTTTCACTGAAACACCTAATGCAAGAGAAAAGGAAAAAATGAACACATGGGAATACATCAAACTAAAAAGCTTCTGCATAGCAAAAGAAATAAGCATCAAAATGGAAAGGGGATCCACTATATGGGAGAGCATAATTGCCAACGATAATCAGATAAGGGGTTAAACAAAGAGTACTCATACAACTCAACAAAAGGAAGACAAAGAACCCAATTAAAAAATGTAGAGAGCACCTAAATAGACACCTCTCCAAAGAGGACATACAAATGGCCAAGAGACATAGGAAAAATTGCTCACTGTCACTAATTATCAGAGCGATGCAAATTAAAACAACAATGAGGTATCACCTCACACCTGCCGGAATGGCTGCCATCAACAAATCATCGAACAAGTGCTGGAGAGGGTATGGAGAAAAGGGGTCTCTAGTACACTGCTGGTGGGAATGCAGACTGGTGCAGCCACTATGGAAAACAATATGGTGTTACCTCCAAAAATTAAAAATTGAACTGCCATTTGACCCAGTAATCCCACTTCTAGGAATATACCCTAAGAAGCCTGAAACACCAATCAGGAAGAATATATGTACCCCTATGTTCATAGCAGCACTATTTACAACAGCTAAGATCTGGAAACACCCCAAGTGTCCATCAGTAGATGAGTAGATAAAAAAAGCTGTGGTACATTTACACAATGGAATACTATGCAGCTGTAAGAAAGAACGAACTCTTATCCTTTGAGATGCCATGGAGGGACCTGGAGAGTATTATCCTAAGTGAAACAAGCAAATCAGGGTAATATAAAGATAAATATCACATGACCTCACTTATTTGTGGAATATAATGAACAAAACAAGCTAATGAACAAAATAGACCCAGAGACATAGAAGTAGGGTACCGACTGACAAACCTCAGAAGAGGGGGATGGCATGGGGTGGGGGTGGGGGGAGATAAACCACAGAATGTATATGCATGTATGTGTAACTATGGACATAGACAACAATGCTGGGGCGGGGCTTGCAGGATTGGGAAGACAGTGTCAATGGGGGGAAAAGGAGAAACATCTATAACAAAAATAAAATGAACTGCAAAAAAAAAACCCTCATGGATATGGACAACAGTGTGGGGATTGTGGGGGAGGCGGTTAGGAGGATATGGGGGAATAAATGGTGATGAAAGGAGATATGACTTGGGGTGGTGAACACATTGTACAGGGATGATGTGTTGTGGAACTGTATACCTGAAACCTGTATAATTTTGTTAACCAGTGTCACCTCAATAAATTCAATAAAAAGGAAAAAAATATAGGCTTATTGAACTTCTATCTAGTACCTTTTAAAACTCCCTTACTGCCCTGGCCGGTTTGGCTCGGCTCAGCGGTTGGAGCGTCGGCCTACGGTACAGAGAGACCTGGGTTCGGTTCCCGCTGAGGGCCTGTACCTCAGTTGCAGTTTGTCCCCGGCCCTGGTTGGTTGTGCGGGTGGCAGCCCCTCGATGCGTCCCTTCACGTCAATGTTTCTCTCTCTCTCTCTTCCTCTCCCTCCCTCCCGCTCTATCTGAACAAAAAATGGAAAAATGTCCTCGGGTGAGGATTAAAAATAAATAAATAAATAAAACTCCCTTACTAATTTTAATAATTTATCTATAGATTCTTTTGTAACATTATCAGAAATGAAACGTGTTTTTCCTTCCTTTCCATCTCTCATTTTCCTTCTATATTCCTTATTGTAATGACTAACACCTCTTGTTCAGTAGTGAATAGAAATAATGAGAGTAAGCCCCTTTATCTTGTCCCAGATAAAAAACATTCAACACATCACCACTAACTGTAGTGCCTACAGTAAGTTTTGTAGATATCTTTATTTGATTAAGGAAATTTCCTTATATTCCAGATTTGCCTGGCTTTTTAAAATAAATCAGGATGAATGTTGGGTTTTGTAAAATGCTTTCCTTATTGAAATGATATGACTTTTCTCCTTTATTCTGTTAAAGTAATACATAGAATTCATTTTTTATTATTGAGATATTACTTAAACAGCATAAAGTCCACCCTTTTAAAGTACACAATTGAGTAGTTTTTAGCATATTCACAAGTTGTGCAATCATCATGACGATCTATTCCAGAATATTTTCACCATCCCAAACAGTAATCTTGAATTCATTAGTAGTCAGTACCTATTTTTTCCAAAGGTTTCTGGCTCTCAGCAACCATCAATCTACTTTTTGTCTCTATGTACTTGTCTAATCTGGACATTTCACATAAATGAAATCATACAAAATAAAATATATGGTATTTTATGACTGGCTTCTGTCACTTTCAGCATAATGTTTTCAATGTTCATCCATGCTGCAGCATGTATCAGTACTTCATTCTTTTTTATGGTAGAATGGAATCCATCCATTGTATGGATGATAGACATTACACTTACCCATATATCCACTGAAAGACATTTAGTTTTCACTTTTTAGCTATTATGAATTATGTTTCTATGCACACTTGTGTGAACCTAAGTCTTCGATTATCTTGAATATATGTCTAGGAGTTGATTTATTTTTAAATGTTAAACAAATTTAAATACAAGGTATAAATTTAACATGGCCATGATGTGTATTATCCGTTTTCTATGTTACTGAATTCTGTTTTCCAGTATTTTGGCTTAAGACTTTATATTTGTGTAAGATTAATGTGTAATTTCAAATGTTAACACAGAATGTATTGACATAAAGTATCTTCCTATGATATTTTAACATCTATAATAACTATAATTGCAATATCAATATTCCTTTTCTCATAAGTTTATCAATTTTTCAAATTACCATTTATAACTTTTGTTGATCATCTCTATAGTATCTTTGATTTCTAGTTCATTGATTGTGCTTCTGTGATGTAATCTTTTTTTTTTTTACCATGGTTGATGCTATATAGAAGTGTCAAATTATATCTTAATTTTTTTTTTAATCCTTACCTGAGGACATGCTTAGAGAGAGAGAGAGAGAGAGAGAGAGAAACAGAAATGTGAGAAACAGAGATCCACTGATTCTGTACACTCCTGACGAGGGGTCAAACCTGCAACCCAGGCATGTGCCCTGCCCAGAATTGAACAGGCAACCTTTCTTTAAATGGGATGATGCTCAACCAACTGAGACACTCCAGCCAGGCTTAAATTATGTCTTTATAAATACAATCACAGTAATTATTATCATAAACGAATTATCCAAAGAGCTATATTAAATAAACATGACTAATGAACAAATATCTACCAATGAATATTATAAAAGAATCCAAAAACAGCAGGACACAGAAAAACCCGCAAAAACAAGTGTTGCCCCAAACCCATCTATTAACTACCACTTTATCTGGTCAAATTTTAGTGTCTACCATTAGCAATGGTAAGTATTTTCAGTAACAAGTATTCTGCTAAGAAATTCTATAAATCCCTGACACACTGATGGGGGTGGGGGGTAACTTGACTTACCAAGGGGATCACTTTGTAAGTTATATAAATGTCTAGCCACTATGCTGTACAACTGAAACTAATATAATATTGAATGTTGACTGTAATTAAAATATACATTTAATATATTTCTCAGAGTGTAGAAAGGGATACCTTATTATTATTGAGATTTTTTTTTTCTTTATTGATTTTTAGAGAGAGAGGAATGGAGAGGGAGAGAGAGATAGAAACATCGATGAGAGAGAACATCGATTGGTTGCCTCCAGCATGCCCTCGACTGGGGATTGGGCCCACAACCTAGGCATATGCCCTGACCAGAAATCGAACTGGCGACCTCTTGGTGCATGGGTCGATGCTCAACCACTGAGCCACACCAGCCGACCAATCAATGAGATTTATAAGTGAGAGACTTTGGAGGCATAAGAACAAGTTAACAGAGGTAGGACAACAGACTGTTTTTCATTATTCTCCACCAGCACACTCTGATGTCATCTTTATATGCATGTTAATTCAAACACTGAAAATACATCTCTGATAAAGAATAGACACTTGTCCAGCCAGTGTGGCTCTGTAGTTGAGCATCACCCATGCACCAAGAGCTCGCCGGTTCAATTCCCAGTCAGGACACATGCCCAGGTTATGGGCCTGGTCCCCAGTGGGGGGCAATTGATGTTCTCTCTCATTGATGTTGCTATCTCTCTCTCCCTCGCCCTTTCTCTCTCTCTAAAATCAATAAAGGGGAGAAAAAAAAAGAATAGACACTTTCCCTGGCCAGTTTGGATCAGCGGGTTAGAAAACTGGCCCTCAGAATGAAGGGTTTCAGATCTGATTCCCAGACAAGGGAATGTACCTGGGTTTTGGTTTCGGTCCCCAGCACAGGTTGGGGTCCTGCGGGAGGTGGCTGACTGATGTTTCTTTTTCTTTCTGTCTCTTTGTCTCTCTCTCCCCCTCCCTTCCACACTATCTAAAACTCAATGGAAAAATATCCTTGGGGGTGAGGATTAACCAAAAAAGAAAGAAAAAAAAAAGAATAAACACTTACCACTTCCCTCATCTGCACCATTCTGAGCAGCTTCCCAACCTACTGGTTTTGTCCCACACCCATCTATAGATGGAGAATCTGAATAGTCTGCAGGATTAAATGTCCTGGGGTTTGAAATGAAGAATAAAGACAAATGAAGCAATCACCAAAGTCACAAAATTAACTGTACATCATCTTCTACAAAATAAGTCCTGTCCCTTCTAAGAGACACTAAGAAACTTCACCTTCCTTCTCCTATTTAATTATAACTAATTCCTCTTGCCATTAAGATGTAGATCTGAAAAGCAGAATTGCCTAGAAACTTTCCATGCACTCTTATAAGATACCACTGTTTCCCTAAATTGCTGTCCTCTGAATCCTAAAGCAAGTGTGGAGACATAATCATTCTAGGCAGCATGAGGGCTCTATGGAAAGCCCCCCCGAAAACTAAACACACATTTAAACAGGCAACAAGTCTTTCCTTCCCAAGTCAGAATCCAAGTTTGGCTCTGAACCTTTTACAACAGTTATTTATGACCCTTTTTGTATAGAAACAATGGACATAAGTGTTTTTAAAAAGAAACAAAGCCCTGGCCGGTTTTGCTCAGTGGTTAGAGCATCAGCCTGTGGTCCAGAGAGACCTGGGTTCGGTTCCCGCTAAGGGCGCGTACTTCAGTTGCAGTTTGTCCCTGGCCCTGGTTGGTTGTGCGGGTGGCAGCCACTCAATGTGTCCCTTTCACGTTGATGTTTCTTTCTCTCTTCCTCTCTCTCCCTCCCACTCGATCTGAAGAAAAAATGGAAAAATGATAAAAAAAAAAAAAAAAGACGGCCCTGGCCAGTTTGGCTCAGCGGTTAGAGCGTCGGCCTGCGGTCCGGAGAGACCCGGGTTCGGTTCCCGCTAAGGGCACGTACTTCGGTTGCAGTTTGTCCCCGGCCCTGGTTGGTCGTGCGGGTGGCAGCCACTCGATGTGTCCCTTCACGTCGATGTTTCTCTCTCTCTCTCCCTGCCTCTCTCTCCCTCCCACTCTATCTGTACAAAAAATGGAAAAATATCCTCGGGTGAGGATAGAAAAAAAAAAAAAAGAAACAAACAAACAAAAATGTTTTGTTAAATACCTCCTTTATCCCAAACACCCATGACTCAGGTCTAATAACTAGAGTCAAATTAAATACTATCTCTAAAATTTTCACAGAATTTTTTTCTGGCTTAACTGTGATAATATTAACTTTTTAAGAAATCACAAAATAATTTTTTTTTTTTAAGTAAACAGCAATATTCCCAAAACAATTTAAAGCAGTGGTTTTCAACCTGTGGGTCACACCCCTTTGGGGGTGGAACAAACCTTTCACAGGGGTCGCCTAAGACACAACAGTAACAAAATTACAGTTATGAAGTAGCAACAAAAATAATTTTATGGTTAGGGGTCACCACAACATGAGGAACTGTATTAAAGGGTCACAGCATTAGGAAGGTTGAGAACCACTGGTTTAAAGCTATTGGGCTGGGCATGCATGTTTAAGTGTTTACTCCCTGTCTTTTCAATTCTTCCTTTGTCTACAGGGAACTCAGGCAGAAAACAGATAGCAAGAAGTACCACCTGAAGGAAGTGGCCCCCAACAGTGCTAAAGCTATGGAGAAACAAAGGGCTTTTCCAGGAACCAATTCCCTTCTTTTCTTGACTGGAATCTATAAACGGCTTCTGTAAAATGCTTAAAAGCTTTTTTTTCTCCTAAAAATCTTGGGGGAGCTAATATTTTAAAAGCAGCAAAAAGTAAAAGAACAATAAGAAATAATGAAAAAACAACTGATTATACCTTTTATTTAATAAATAACACAGTATGGTCACCATTCACCATTACAATTCAGGAGAAACCTATCACTTTTACATAGATAAACATTGCATTTACTTACCATTCAAAGACAATTACTGGATTTAACCCACATAACTTATGCAGTGGTTTTCAGCAAGGGGTGATTGTGCACCTCCCTCCCAGGGAACATATAGCAACGTCTGGAGACAGTTTTGATTGTCACAACTTGAGAAGGGGTGCTACTGGAATCTAATAGGACAAGGCTAAGGATGTTGCTAAACACCCTACAATGTAAAGGACACCCAACCACCTTAACAAACTTATCTAATCTAAAATGTCTACAGAGTCAAGGCTAGAAACTCTGCTCTAAGGCCCATTGCAATACAATTTTATTTGTACTCCTTTACTTCTGTACTACTTTCTCTGACTCACCAGACTAAATTAGGTATAGAACAGAAAAAGGAAAGCCTGAGAGTAACAACTAGAGAAGGTAATAACTACAAAAATAAGATGGCTACACTTACCCCATGCCTTGGGTTGAGAATCTTCCTGCCCCTCTCCCTCTGCCACGTCCAAATCCTTTAAAAAAAAGTATAGTGTAAAATAATACTTATGTCCCATATAACAACAATTTGACCAACTTTGTTCTATGTACACCTACTCAATATTGTCATTGTTCCTAACAGCACCATAATTTTCTCCAATGCACTCAATCTGCTGGTCCCTACTGAAAAACTACCTACCGTTATTGATTTCAAAGGATAGAAAAAATTTTATCTGCTTGTATTCCATTTGTGATATGTAGCAGTTTAACATAGGCAGGTTATATTATAAAAATAGCATGGGTCTTTTAAAACAAGCTAGTGCAAAAAACATGACATTGTAAAGCCTCTACTATAAAATGAAATGAAAAACATAGAGGAAACTGTTAAGTAAGCTGGGGGTACTGTACTACTCAACACCATTTTTAATACCAGGACTTTAACCTATAACCAAAGTGCCAGCAAGCAAGACAGCTAGCAAGAAGAAAAAGCTTTATTCCATAACTCATTAGCCTTTCTTGATCAAAATCCTAACCTGTGGATTAAATACCTACAGATCTAAATCTATACAACTCTAAGAAGAAAATATAGAGCAAAAGTTTCAGAGCATCCAGTTAATGATTTCTTGGCTATGACACCAATGGCACAGGCAAGTAAGAAAAAAACAGCCCGACTGGTATGGCTCAGTGGTTGAGCATCGACCCATGCACCAAAAGACCACCAGTTTGATTCTGGGTCAAGGCACATGCCCAGGTTGTGGGCCAAATCCCTAGTGGGGGGCATGCAGGAGGAGGCCAATCAATGTTCTCTCCCATCGATGTTTCTATCTCTCTCTCCCTTCCTTTCTTTCTAAAATCAATAAAGGAAAAAATGAATAAAATAAATTAAATTTAATTTAAAAAAGAATAAAACAGACATTAGATATCAATATAAAAAGACACTATGAAAAATAAATTTTAGGACTTCCGGTCAAGATGGTGGCATAGGTAAACGTGGTACCACATCCTCCCACAACCACATCAGAGTTACAACTAAACTACAGAACAACCATCATTCAAAACTGCCTGAAATCAAGCTGAATGGAAGTCCTACAACTATGGAATTAAAGCAGCAGCCACATCCAGACTGGTAGGAGGGGCGGAGGTGAAAGGGACAGCGCGACAGGCTGATCCTATACCCATGTGTGGCGGATAAAAATCAGGAGGGTACCTCGGCTGGGAAAGTCCTTCCTGAGAACTGAGGGGTCCCCGTCCCACACCAGGTGCCCCGCTCAGGGTTCCAGAGCCAGGAAGAGAAGTCCCTATAACTTCTGGCTGGAAAAACCAGCAGGAACTGAGGCTCAGGGAAGCTGAAGCGGCTGGAGCCCCAGGCAGCTCCTTAAAGGGCCCACGCACGGACTTATCAGACCCTCCCCCTCTAAGCTTGGAGGGGAGGCAGCTCAAGGGGCACCAGAGACATACAGGGAAGAACTGAGCTGTTTGGCATTGGAGCGAGGGCTGGAGAGGGGACTTTCTCCAGGACAAACATGCTGTAAGAGGCCTTTGTTCCTTTGGTGAGCCCTTCCCTGGGGCAGCAGACAGCCACCATATCTGGGACTCCAGCAACCTGGCTCACACTGGTAGCCCTGCCCTGGTGACTCCCTGAGGCCCCGCCCCACCCAACTTTCAGGCCCACCCAAGCTGTTGCCACTTGCTTAACCATAGGATTGGCCTGTCTTGGATCCTGCTTCAGGTTTCCTAAATTCTTTCAAATGAGCAGCATCTGGTCTCAGCTAGCCCCATACCTCTCGTTAAGTAATACACGGACACAAACACAGGGAGGCAGCCAAAATGAGGAGACAAAGAAACAGGTCCAAATGAAAGAACAGAACAAAACCCCAATAAAAGAACTAAGCGAAATGAAGATAAGCAACCTAACAGATACTTAGTTCAAAATACTGCTTATAAGGATGCTCAATGAACTCAGTGAGGGCCTCAAGAGCATAAAGAAGGACCTGTCAGAAATCATGGATGCACAGTCAGAATTGAAGGAGGCATTAACTGAAATAAAGAATAATTTACACAGCTTCAATAGTAGAGTACGTAAATCCAAGAAGCAAACCATCGATTTGGAATATAAGGAAGCAAAAAATGCCCAATCAGAACAGCAAAAAGAAAAAAGAATCCAAAAAAATCAGGATAGTGTAAGGAGCCTCTGGGACAGCTTCAAGTGTACCAACATTCGCATCTTGGGGGTGCCAGAAGGAGAAGAGCGAGAACAAGAAATCGAAAACCTGTTTGAAACAATAATCGCAGAAAACTTTCCTAACTTGGTGAAGGAAACAGACATACAAGTCCAGGAAGCACAGAGAGTCCCAAACAAGATGAACCCCAAGAGGCCCACACCAAGACACATCATCATCAAAATGCAAAAGGTTTAAGACAAAGAGAGAAATCTTAAAAGCAGCAAGAGAAAGGCAGCTAGTTACCTACAAGGGAGTTCCCATAAGGCTGTCAGCTGATTTCTCAACAGAAACTTTGCAGGCCAGAAGGGAGTGGCAAGAAATATTCAGAGTGATGAAAAGCAAGAACCTACAACCAAGATTACTCTATCCTGCAAAGCTGTCATTTAGAATCGATGGCCATATAAAGACTTTCCCAGACAAGAAAAAGTTAAGAGTTCATCACCATTAAACCGTTATTATATGAAATAATGAAGGGTCTGTTTTGTTTTTGTTTTTTTTTTTTATTTTTTATCCTCACCCGAGGATATTTTTCCATTTTTTGTACAGATAGAGTGAGAGGGAGAGAGAGGAAGGGAGAGAGAGAGGGAAACATCGATGGAAGGGACACATCGAGTGGCTGCCACCCGCACGACCGACCAGGGCCGGGGACAAACTGCAACCGAAGTACGTGCCCTTAGCGGGAACCGAACCCGGGTCTCTCTGGACCGCAGGCCGGCGATGAAGGGTCTTTTTGAAGAAAAAGATAAAATATATGGCCCTGGCCGGTTTGGCTCAGCGGTTAGAGCGTCGGCCTGCGGTCCGGAGAGACCCAGGTTCGGTTCCCGCTAAGGGCATGTACCTCAGTTGCAGTTTGTCCCCGGCCCTGGTTGGTCGTCCGGGTGGCAGCCACTCGATGTGTCCCTTTCACATCGATGTTTCTCTCTCTCTCTCTCCCTCCTGCTCTATCTGAACAAAGAATGAAAAAGTGTCCTCGGGTGAGGATAAAAAAAATATATATATATATATATATGAACAAACTAAATGGCAATGAATACATACCTATCGACATTGGAATCTACAAACAAAATGAACAGGTATAACAGAAACATTCTTATACATACAGAGAATACTTTGTTGGTTGCCAGATGGGAGGGAGGTTGGGGGAGTGGGTGAAAAAGGTGAAGAGATTAAGAAGTACAAATTCATTGCTAGACTCACAAACCTCAAAGGGCAAGGGGTTGGGGGAGTTGGAAGAAATAAACCAAAGAACTTATATGCATAACCAATGGACACAGACAATAGTGTGGGAAAAGGCGGGAGGGGGGCGGGAGTGGAGAGAGGGGTCAATGGGGGAAAAATGTGGAACAGCTGTAATACACTTTACATTCAACAATAAAGATTTAAAAAAATAAAAAAATAAAATAAAACACGGACTGGAAAAAAAAAAAGAAAAAGAAATTTTAAAAAGACATTATCCATAGAGTACAAAAACAATCTGCAGAATATTTGCGCATCATATATTTGAAAAGGAGTGATAAAGAGACTATATGAAGAACTACAACTCAACAACAAAATGAACAACCCAATTCAAAAATGGGCAAAGGACTTGAATATTTCTTCAGAGAAGATATACAAATGGTCAAAAAGCATTATTAAAAGATTCTCAACATCACTAATCATTAGGGAAACCTGATAACAGAGAGAAAATGTATAGAACATAACAGCAAAGATGTAGAGAAATTGAAACCCTTGCGCTCTGTTTTTGGTAGGAATGCAAAATGTTGCAGTCACTATGGAAAACAGTATGGCAGTTCCCCCCCAAATTAAAAATAGATTACCACATGATTCTGCAATTTCATATTTGGCTATATATCCAAGAAGATTTGAAAATAGGGTCTTAACAAGATATCTGAACACTAATATCAGCCTTATTCACAATAGCCAAAAGGTAGACACAACCTAAGTGTCCATCAGTAGATAAATAGATCAGTGAAATGTGGTATATACATACAGTAGAATATTATTCAGCCTTAAAAAGAAGGAAATTCTGACACATGCTACAACATGGATGAACCTTGAGGACATTGAGCTAAGTGAAACAGGTCAGTTAGAAAAGGACACATATTTTGATTCCATGTATATGAGGTATATAAGAATACCTTTCAAATTCAGAGAAAGGCAGTTGCCAGGAGCTATATAAGCTATGCAAATATAACTAAAATGTATATTAATCATGTATAGTTAACTTATCCAACAGTTTCAGTTAAACTATTAAAAAATATGGTCTTAACAAATCTACTCTATTCCCAGAGATGGAATAGAGGGAAATGCCCTAAAAAGTAAAAGAATCCTAATAACAATGCCTATCAGTGGCTACTGTCTATTGTAACACTGCCAAAAAGCAATGGTTAAAAAAAACCAAACACTACCTTGTCCATATATCCATACAATGAAATGTTATTTAGCCATAAAAGGAAGTACTGATACATGCTACAACAATGATGAACCTTTAAGACATTAAGCTAGGTGAAAGAAAGTGAAACAAATGCCCTGGCCAATTTGGCTCAGCGGTTAGAGCCTGGGAACCAGAGAATCCCGGGTTTGGTTCCCATTAAGGGCACGTACCTCGGTTGCAGTTTGTTCCCCGCCTCAGTTAGGGTTGTGCGGGTGGCAACCACTCATGTCTCTCTCATGTCGATGTTTCTCTCCCTTTCTTCCCCACTCTCTCCTTCCTACTCAGTCTGAAGATAAATGCAAAAATGTCCTCGGGTGAGGATAAAAAAAGAAAGTGAAATAAACAAACAAAAAACACTATAGGATTCTATTTACATGTTATGTCCAGAATAGGGAATTCTATACAGACAGAAAGTTGATTACTGGCTGTTTATTGCTAGGGTGTGGTATGAGGACGATAGAGAAACTGGAAATTGATAAAGTGTACAGAATTTCTTTTTGAGGTGATCAAATATTCTTTTTTTTTTCTGTTTTTGGTACGTGCCCCTAGTGGGAACTGAACCTAGGACTCTCTGGTCCGCAGGTCGACGCTCCAACTGCTGAAACAAACCAGCCAGGGCAATCAAAATATTCTTAAATTGATGATGGTGATGGTTGCATAATTCTATAAACACACTGAAAATCACTGAATTATATAATTTAAATGGATGAATTATATGGTATGTAGATAATATCTCAAGAATAGTTTCTTTTTTGCTATAATGAACACTGTTACCAAGAAAGAAAGCAAAAGAAAAAACATAATTGCTCTTCATAAACGGGTTCGTGTGCACCCATGACGAAAGAGAATTAATTTCAATGGTATTCATGTGGCAAATTGCGCTAACAGTGGTTAAATATTAAATAAATATCGGCAAAACTTTAAAAAGGGATTCTGATAAGAAATCATTAAATGATTAAATGATATCTAAAATACTTGAACCAGAAAGCAAGATGTGCATAAAAGAGAAGAGAGGGTTTTATAAAAGAAATATATATTCACCCAGCCGGTGTGGCTCAGCGGTTGAGCATCAACCTATGCACCAAGAGGTCACCAGTTCGATTCCCAGTCAGGGCACATGCCCAGGATGTGGGCCTGATCCCAGGTGGGAGGGGGGCATGCAGGAGGCAGCCAATCGATGTTCTCTCTCATCGATGTTTCCATCTTTCTCTCCCTTTCCCTCTCTTTCTAAAAATCAATAAAGAAAATCTTTTTTTTTTTTTTTTATCCTCACCTGAGAACATTTTTCCATTTTTGTTCAGGTAGAGTGGGAGGAAGAGAGAGGGAGAGAGAGAAACATCGACGTGAAAGGGACACATCGAGTGGCTGCCTCCCGCATGACCCCAACTGGGGCTGGGGACAAACTGTAACCGAGGTACGTGCCCTTCGTGGGAACTGAACCCGGGTCTCTCTGGACCACAGGCCGACACTTTAACCGCTGAGCCAAACCGGCCAGGGCAAAGAAAAACATTTTTAAAAAATGAACTATAGCCCTGGCCGGTTTGGCTCAGCGGTTAGAGCGTCGGCCTGTGGTCCAGAGAGACCCGGGTTCAGTTTCCGCTAAGGGCATGTACTTTGATTGCAGTTTGTCCCCAGCCCTGGTTGGGTCGTGCGGGTGGCAGCCACTTGATGTATCTCTCTCACATCGATGTTTCTCTTTCTCTCTTCCTCTCTCTCCCTCCTGCTCTATCTGAATAAAAAATGGGAAAATGTCCTCAGGTGAGGATTAAAAAACAAACAAAAACCTACTTTAAAATATTTCTGCCGAGCCCTGGCCAGTTTGGCTCAGCGGTTAGAGCGTCGGCCTGCGGTCCGGAGAGACCCGGGTTCGGTTCCCGCTAAGGGCACATACTTCGGTTGCAGTTTGTCCCCGGCCCTGGTTGGTCGTCCGGGTGGCAGCCACTCGATGTGTCCCTTCACGTCGATGTTTCTCTCTCTCTCTCCCTTCCTCTCTCTCCCTCCTGTACTCTATCTGTACAAAAAATGGAAAAATATCCTCGGGTGAGGATAAAAAAATAAATAAAATATTTCTGCCGAGAAAGAAGGAATAAAAGAAACATACAAAGCAAAATAGCTAAAAACTTTAAGTACTGTTAAATAAAAGTGAGGGGACATGGGGTTCATTTAACTACTCTCTCCACTTTTTTTCTATATTTAAAATTGGTCATAATAAAAAAGTCCAGAACAGGGAATAATAATTAAAATCTATTTGATAATTCCAATCTTATTTTGACTGTGCCTGGCAAATTCGTACATAATTTTGTCCTTTTCTGATCTCTGGAAATCATTTACCTTGGCCCATAGAGTAGAGGTTTAGTAAATTATTGTTAGATGAATAAACAGATAAGAGAGTTGGTAGTATATGTACTACCTGCATTATTTCTATGCATAGTGTTTCTGAAAAAGTCTGTCACTATAAAATGCTCATTTAGAGAAGAGTCACAAGTGCATTGAATAATGGATCAAACACAATGTGAGTTAATTCAGGTAGCCCCTCCACTGAATCAAAACAGGGTCTATACATTATTACGTCATGTATTTGATTTCAGAATCTTGAGGAAATTCAGTAAGGACTCTAAGGTATATGAAACTACATTCTTTTTTTAAAAAAATCCTCACCTGAAGACGTTTATTGATTTTAGGGAGAGAGAAAGGGGGGAGAGAGAGAGGAGAAGAGGGGGGGAGGGAAGGGGAGAGGGAGAGTGAGAGAAACATCGATCAGTTGCCTTCCCTACCACTCAGACTGGGGATTGAAACTACAACCTAAGTATGTGCCTTGACCAGAAATCAAACCTGAAACCTTTACATGTATGGGATAATGCTCCAACCAACTAAGCTATCTGGCTAGGGCAAAACTACATTCTTTTTTAATCCTCACTCGAGGACATTTTTGCATTTATCCTCAGACAGAGCAGGAGAGAGAGAGGGGGAAAAAAGAGAGAAAAAAAAATCGATGTGAGAAAGACACAGTGACTGGTTGCCACCCACACGACCCCAAACAGAGTGGGCACAAACTGCAACCGAGGTACGTGCCCTTAGCAGAAACTGAACCCGGCACTCTCTGGTCCACAGGCCGATGCTCTAACCGCTGAGCCAAACTGGCCAGGGCCAAAACCATATTCTTAAAGTGACATCCCAAATTAATAAATGTTAAGAAATGATCACTAACAGAAAATGGGAGGAGGGAAGGAAATAATCAATGGGCAAATAATTTTAATTTTAAAACCAGTGGGTAGTCCTGGCAGGGTGGCACAGCTGGGTGGAACGTTGTCCTATACACAGCTCATTTGAAAATAACCAATAGGTTTCCTCAAAATTACATGATCCAAACACTTTATTCATTTATACACCAGTAAATGAATCAAAAGATTTCAGAAGTTGAACCATTCTCTCAGAGTACACTGTCACCTTAAAGCCCAGTACAGCAAACAGCCTGTCTCCTTCTTCCGATCACAAGCATCTCCTTCTCCTTCATTGTCTTACCTCTACCACGGGTTCGCTTGCCACGGTCCGAAATCTTGTCCCCTTGATTGCAATCAATTCCATTCTCTTCACCTCTAACTAAGAAATAAAAGAGCACCTCTTATAATCATACCAGATGGCTATCAAAGGCAAGAACAAAAACACTTTTTTAAAAAGGCTAAAATGTAATCAAAGGGTTAAAAAAAATAGAGGAAAAACAAAAGTGGCTCAAAAACTGAGTAATAGCACATCTTTCTAATTAATGCATAGGTGAAAAATCCTAAAAAGAAATTAAAATGACATACCACTTTTTCTTTCTTCAATTTGGACTTGCCCTCCCCTAAAGTAAGTTTCCTTCAAAAAGCCATTTTCATTATTCAACTATGTAATATACCACAAATTTAATCACTGGTTAGGTTTAAGGTCTGGAAAGGCATAGAATAGCAAAATAACACCACCAAGAAAATATAGAGCTATTGAAGAAATCACTGTTAGAGATAGGTTTTTCTGTCCAGAAGATGCTAAAAGATTTTTCTTCTTTTCATACCTATATTGGCATTAATGATTCTACATAATACAGAAATTTTATGAGTGATATTGGCACAGCTTGTTCCCCTGATCTCTTTCAGGGATTAACTCCTATAAATTGTCATTGAGGAACCACTCCATTTAAATCTGCCACACCACACCCAGCCAGTGTGGCTCAGTGGAATGAACTTTGTCCCATGGATGGGGAGGTCCTGGTTTGATTCCTGGTTGGGGTACATGCCCGGGTTGCGGACTTGGTCCCCGTTGGGGGCATGCAAGAGGCAACCAAATGATGTATTTCTTTCACATCGGTATTTCTATCGCTCTCTCCCTTCCCTCTCTAAAAAAAAAAAAAATAATCAATAAAAATAAATTTAAATAAATTTGCTACACCTCTCCCTATAATCCCCACCCCTCTGCTCTTATTTTTCCCCTAACATAATTTCTACAAAACACCATTAAAATATATTAATATGAAATATGTTACTTTTTTATTGTTACATCTCACTCTACCTCCATTAAAATGTAAGTTTTAGGAGGGCAAAGATTTCTGAATCATTCATTGCTTTATGCCTATAAGAGAACTTGCTACTAGTAGGTACTCAATAAATATTCATGGAATAAACTAGCAAAAGTCTATAAGGTGAGCCCTGACTGGGTGGCTCAGTTGGTTGGAGCATTGTCCTGTATGCCAAAAGGTTGTGGGTCTGATTCCCAGTCAGGGCACATAACTAGGTTGCGGGTTTGATCCCCGCTCAGGGCACATACAGAAGGCAACGGATCAATGTTTCTCACATCGATGTTTCTCTTTTACTCTCTCTCTCTTTTTCTCTCAGATCAATAAATATAGCCTCACGTGAGGATAAGAAAAACAGTTTCTACAGTGATATGTTTAAAACTTACATTTTACTCATTCATAATTTAGCTACTTTGGCATGTCTATACAGGAGGTTGTCATTTTCAGAAAATCATGACAAAATCTGGGTCAAATGTAAAGTTTAGAGAAAATCTTCCCTATTCAACAACACACTTAATTTAACCTTTGCCTATACCATGAGTATCTCTAGGTGGGGAAGAATAAACAGATTCATCTATCAGTGAATGAAAATCCTCCTTTAAAATTAGAGGATTCACAACCTGAGTCACAACAGAAGGCAGTCTTAATACACAATACAACTACCTGCAGCCCAGGTCAATGCTGATATAAAATTGCATCAGTTACTAAGTTAACTAAGTAGTTCATAAGAATTCAAATGTTAACATTAAAAACAAATGGCATATTGAGATAGTGGATTTATGGGCATTCATTGGACCAGTTTTTCAGATTTTCAATATGCATGAAAATTTTCATCATAAAAAGTTGAAGAGAGCCCAAACCAGTGTAGCTCAGTGAGTTAAGAATATTGTCCCATGCACGTGAAGGTCAAAGGTTCAGTTCCTGGTCAGGGCATGAACCTGGGTTGCAGGTTCCATCCCTTGGCCCTGGTGGGGGCGAGTGCAGGGGACAACCAATTCATGTTTCTTTCTCATATCTATGTCTGTCTCTCTCTCTCTCTCTCTTTCGCCCCCTCCCTCCCTCCTTCCCTTCCACTCTCTTTAAAATCAATGGAAAAATATCCTCGAGTGAGAATTAAAAAAAAAAAAGTTGAGTAGAAAGGTCTATACTTACACTCTCTCCGATTGCCACCTCTTCCTTTCCGGTTGTTGTTTACACGTCCACGACTCACTTCTTTCTCACTTTTCTTCTCTCTATTCTCTTTGTTTTCTGAACTTTCTTTTCCAAAATTCTTCTTCTTCCCCCCTACAGTCTCCCATGAAGTCTACCGAAAATAAGAGTTGTCATTTTCAGAGTTGTCATTCAAAGTACGTGCAATTATCAAGAGTAGGTGCATGCATCTTCCAAAACTAATAACCCATGACTTGCAGCTTGCTTTCCTATCATTTTAATTCTTTTCCATATAGTTCTCCTTTCTGATGATAAAGACGGCAAACCTCTTGCTAAGCTCCTTTGCTATATAGAGCACAAAAGATTACAGCAACTAGCTGAATTGACACCATATTATATGTTGTTTCACCAAAAAGCCTTTTCGTATAGTGACTTCAGGATAAAGTAAATGTAATTCCCCCAAGTTCCACTCTATGCCACCCTCACATACCTCAGTAGTAAGGTTTAAATCTATTAAATACACAGATTAGCTCAAAGATTACAAAATTACATAAAATGATGCCCTAAGCCCTGGCCGATTTTGCTCAGCGGTTAGAACGTTGGCCTGCGGTCCAGAGAGACCCGGGTTCAGTTCCCGCTAAGGGCACGTACCTCGGTTGCAGTTAGTCCCTGGCCCTGGTTGGTTGTGCAGGTGGCAGCCACTTGATGTGTCCCTTTCACGTCGATATTTCTCTCTCTCACTCTCTTTCTCTCTCTCCCTCCCACTATCTGAACAAAAAATGGAAAAATGTCCTCGGGTGAGGATAAAAAAAAATGATGCCCTAAATTCTCAGGAATACAGCTTTCCCTATGCAGTTATACAAAGTAACCATCAAAAAAATTTTAATAGATGAATAAAATTTTGGGTTAGTTTTTTTTTTTTTTATATAAAGTTAAGTATCCTAAGTTTAACCTCAAAGACTTGTTCTAATGAGAAGTCAATTATTTATATAACCTCCCTTCTCTACCTCTCCTCTAACGGTGATACCAAATCAAATCATACCATATACAGGATAGGGCAAAAGTAGGTTTACAGTTATGAGTACACAAAAGTGTTTATTCTTGTATATTATTATTAATCATTGTATTATTTTCCATACGAACATCTATAAACCTACTTTTGCCCCACCCCGTATTTAAAAATTGCTGATAAAAGAATGAGACAATATGTTCTTGTGAATGTAAGTAGCAGGATATCAATCAGGATGTGTTACTAGAAAATTGCAAAACTGGTCCATTTGTTATTATTTTGTTTTTCATAATCTACCTTATTTCACAAAAGATTTGAAGTTATTCAATCCCCAAAGTATGAGCAATAGCGATTTTAAGCTTAAAAGAAAAAAGCTAAAGAAATTACTAACATTGTAGATCCAAATAAACATAAGCACTAGAAATTAATACACTGAAATTAAGAGATATAGCTAAATTATTTCCAAAACAGTGGAGGTCAAATTTAAAACATTTTTAAAAGAAAAACTTTTGATATCTATAAACCTCTGATGAACTCATGTGAAAATGATCAGATGTGAAAAATTGCAAATTAAAACAAGTTATTTTCCACCTCCAATGTTTGATAAAGATCTTTTTTATTTCAGCCCTCACCCAAGGATATTTTTCCACTGATTTCCAGATGGAGGAGCAGAGGGGAGAGAGAGAAAGAGATTGGTTGGTTGCCTCCCGCACAACTCCAACCAGGGCCAGAGATTGAACCTCAACCGAGGTACATGCCCTTGACCGCAATCAAACCCGCGACTCTTTGGTCCATCAGCCAACACTCTAACCACTGAGTGAAACCGGCCAGGGCTAAGTTAGGACATTTAAATATATTTGACCTTTATCGCTTTCTGCATTGCTTTTTTAATTAGAAAGAACAATAAAACTTATTTATTCCAGAAAATATTCCAGTGTACAAATACAATTTATTATGCTCACTAATATGAATAAACAAGACAATTATGTAAGACAGAATCTTGTCCTCTTAACAAGAGGTCCTGGAAAATTTATACACAGTAGGGATGAGCATAAGGTAGGGGTGTGTGTGTGTGTGTGTGTGTGTGTATGAATTTAAAATGTCTTTATACTGCCAGACCTAAAAGTACATAATCATTATAAAGGGACAGACTTTCTATGTAAAACATTTGAAAGAGAGAAACATCTTACTCCATTTCATTCAGCAAAGGATGGGTTTGTGAACTCTACAAAGAGTCTACTAAGAACTTATTTGTGGGGGAAAGTAGAAAAGGAACCTTTAAGGGGCAATTGGTTTAACACCACAGTAAATGCCAAAGAGAATATCACTTATTTTTGCACAACAGTCTACAAGCATACAGGCCTTCAAAGTAAAAAAGTTACGTAGATTTTCAACATAACTGTCAACCTTCGTCATCTGTATTTGGCTACTTGTAGAATAGGTCTGAAGAAAGTCCAACAGAAATGGTTCACCCAGACATCACATTTAATAATCAGAAAAGCAGCTTTTCCAGACCAGCTCATTCAAAAAAATTCTCCTACCCCTCATACAAAACACAAACAAATTAACTTACAAAATATATATTCTCAGGTGAGGATTAATAACAACAAAATCATGAACAGGTCCACTTGACATTTTTTCAAAGTAATAATTTCATTTCAGAAGACTATGGCACAAAGTAAAGTTAGTCAATAGGACAAAGTTTGTTTTCATGACTTATTTTTTTTAAATGTTTTTATTGCTTTTTTTAGAGTGTGCGCAAGGGGGAGAGAGATAGAAACACTGATGTGAGAGAGAAGCATAAATCAGCTGCCTCCTGCATGCATGTGCCCTGACTAGGATGACACTCAATCCACTGAACCACACAAGCCGGGCTCATGGCTTTACCTTTAATTTTATTTTTTCCTTTATTGATTTTAGAGAGAGAGGAAGTGAGAAGAAAAGAGAGATAGAAACATTGATTGGCTGCCTCCTGCATGCCTCCCACTGGGGATCGGGCCCACAAGCTGGGCATGTGTCCTGACCGGGAATCAAACCGGCGACCTCTTGGTGCATGGTACGACACTCAATCCACTGAGCCACATGAGCTGGGCAGCAGTTCATTTTTATACAGCCTATCCCTAAAACTGAGAACCTGATTAAACCTAAGCACTGACAAGGAAGGCACTTTTTTTTTTTTTTTTATCCTCACCCGAGGACATTTTTTCATTTTTTGTTCAGGTAGAGTGGGAGGGAGAGAGAGGAACAGAGAGAGAGAGAGAAACATCGATGTGAAAGGAACACATCGAGTGGTTGCCACCCGCACAATCGACCAGGGCCGGGGACAAACTGCAACCGAGGTATGCGCCCTTAGCGGGAACCAAACCCGGGTCTCTCAGGTCCGCAGGCCGACGCTCCAACCGCTGAGCCAAACCGGCCAGGGCGCACTTTTAAATTTTTTTCTTTAATCCTCACCTGAGGACATGGGGTTTTTTTGTTTTAGAGAGAGAGAAAGGGAGAGGGAGATGGGGGGAGGGGAGAAACATCAATGTGAGAGAGAAATATCAACTGACAGCCTTCCATACATACCCCCACCCAGGACCGGGAACTGAATCCACAACTCAGGTATGTACCCTGATCAGGAATTGAACTGGCAACCCTTCAGTGCACAGACACTCAACCAACTGAGCCACTCTGGCCAGGCAAAGTAGGCACTTTTTGTTGTGTTCATCTTTGTACCCCCTTTTCGATAAATTACTATTTGTTTTAATCTGCTCTGAAGTGATCTACTCAATGTAAAAATACAAATGAAATACTGTGCAGTCTCCACATAGGAATCAAAAGATTAGGGCTGATAACTGCTTGGTGTGGCTTTAGTTGTACCCTTCCTAAAATAAAAGACATGAGCTCTACGGTGCCTGCACTCAATCCACTGAGCCACATGAGCCGGGCAAATTGTCCTCAAATTTTACTAAGCTTAAAACAAACAAACAAAAAACTTTTCTCCTTTTATATATCTGTCAAACTGTCATGAAAATGTGTCTGTAGAATATTCACACATATGTAAATAGATATACCAGCAAATCCTGGTTTTCTATTAGTCTAGAGATATAAGAGAATAGTAAGAGGTGACCAGTGAGATGAAGAAACAAATATGAGCAATGGATCCAAGAGAAGTTTTTCTCAGGTGGTGAAAATGTCCACAGGCCCAGAGATTTTTGGAAACCATATAAGACTGGAGCAGATGACCAAGTTCTCTTTTGAGTCCTCAGATTCTACAACTTCATGAAGAAACCATATATAACAAAACAGTCATTTCAGGTTAGTGTTCTTTCTGGAATTTAAAATATGGAATGGCACCCACAATACCCTCCACCTCCACCCCAAATAAGGTTAATTTTAAAATGCAATATGGGATTGGGAACAAATCTTAGCAGTGCAAATCAATTAATAACACTTAATAATCGTACCGTGTCTGAATTCCCTTCTAGCAATATATTGATAGCTTTGTTCACATCTCCATTACAGTCATGTAGAGCCACTATGCATTCATCCTGATTTTTTCCTGTCACTTCCATAAGCTGTTGAAATTATAAGAAAAGGGTTAGGGAGACCCAAAAAATGGTACTTATAGTAATTTTAAGATTCTTCTCCATAAAGACAGAAATCATTTCATTCTTCCATGTGAAGATGGCCTCTTCTATACTCTGAACTTTTATCTGTTTTGTCTGTGGCCACCCCATGTCTTTTCACCAATATCAGAAGAGTCAAACTATGAATCAATCCTCCTTCAAGCTGACCAATATAAGATTATTAATCAGCAGCACACACATATGTATAGACCAACATCTTCAGAATACTCTGGATCAGTTACTCAAACTCATTCCACAGCCTGGATTCCTAAAATTCTAAACTACACAAATATTAAGTGGGACTATATGTTTCCCAAAGACCAAGTGTATATGGCCACCATTAAAAGAACATCCAGTCCAACTATTTTGCACAGTGACAAAGTTCCTCACATAGGCTATTACTGTTTGGATTATAACATATGTCAACACCTAAGGTCTCACAAGGAATTCTGCAGCTATCACAAAACTCACTCCTAGATATATTATGTTTTCGAGCAGATTCCACAAGGTGCTATGTTTGAAGCAATCAAAGAAATCTCCTTGGTGCATTCTCTTTAACACGGAAGATTAAGCTACTTAACATTTTCATCACAAGGAACAATCAGATTAGGCACAATACAGGTTTCTCAATCATCAATTAACAAATGTATGATTTAAGTATCTGTTGTATTTTAACTGTGTTTAACTATTTTAGTATGTACTAGCTGCAGTTCCAAATAGTTTGACCCCAACATTTGAAGTTACCTCTCTGAAGTCAAAAAACTAATTAATAGAAAAGCCTACCTAGAATCCGGGTCTCCTGATCTCATAAATACTGCTCTTTGTACTACACCATCTGTCTCTCTCGTTTCCTCCCTATATTAAACAGCAAAAAGTTCTATATACTCTTAGAGCTTTCCATTATACTTCGGTCCTTAGATATCTACTACTAATGTCAGATTTTTATCAGTGATCTGGACTAACCCAATATGCAATTGCTAAGAAGCACATTAAGTATCAAAATCCCTCCAGTGATTGGATCAGTAACAGACAGAACTAAAATTAGCACTTAAAACTCTGAACTCCTGAACCAGTGACTTCTCTTGTGTATCTGCTATGCTATTCAGATAAAAAGCAATATAACTTATAGTGTGTCTCAAATTGTACATAAATCTCATTCCAGAGAATAAGTACTATAATTTTTAATAAATTCTTTTGTGCCCTTCCAAAAATATTATCATTAGTCTGATGACAGAAACTATAAGAACAAAGATTTTACACAGTAAAAGGCTAAAGAGTTCACTGCAGCATATTCACTTCATGGAACAATTATTAGTAGACCTCCATCAAGGTCTGAACTGAGGTAAGGGTTATAGTAGCTTGGTTTCTAAAATCTTGAAGGGAAAAGAAGTGTTATCAGAAAAAAAATTTTGAAATTAAGATTATGTTATCCAAAAGTCCTCTCATTAAAATTCTAAATGTAGACATCATCCTAAAATTTAATTTTATACTTTTCTATGTTTCACTCGCCACCATGTTTGAAAGGGCAATTAAATTCTTCTTTAACATTAAACGAAATTTTCTGAGAACTTGCCAAAAACTAAATATACTTTCTATATAAAAGTATAGACAATGTCAATGTGCTTTCACAAAAGTCTAGCTCATTGTTCATATTTAACACTAGTAACTCAAAGATTCTGCTGCCAAGAGGAGGTACATACTCAATTCCTTCATTCTAGCCAATACAGGTATTTAATCACAAGTTCAAAATACAATTAAGTTAGAGTTAAGCAAGAAGCATATTTTAAAATTAAAATCTCTAATAAAATTATCTTTTAAAACATAACAAAAATAGATTACAAAGATGATAATATCCTTTGCCAGAAACATACCTGTTTAACTTTAGCCTCAAATTCCAAATCATTTTTATCAAAGATCACTTGAGCGAGACGCATCTGTTCAGCTGTTGCCTAAAAAGTACAAACAATTGTTAAAGATTTGAGTACCAAAAATATGTTGGATGCCAAATATCTGATGCAAAACAGATAAAAGCTCTCAAGCACTCCAGCACTATGGTAATATAAAACATATACAACCTGCACGCATAAAGTAAATAAGTATCAAATTAAATAATGTAAAGGTTCTATTTACTTGGCTAAATGACCTAAAGTTGTTGTTCATCTTCATTGACTCATTTGAATTTTCTTTCCCCTGGGGAGATAGGAATAACCAACACAAGAGTAAGTGGAAGAATAGGAAACTGAAAATAAACAACTGCCAGGACACAGGCTTAGAGCCAGCCTTACTGTCAAAAAGGCAAAAAAGCTCTGCTGTGAACTCTAAAAAGTATCATGGTCAGTTCTGAAGAAAAAAGGTTATATGGCCCTGGCCAGTTTGGCTCAGCGGTTAGAGCGTTGGCCTGCGGTCCGGAGAGACCCGGGTTCGGTTCCCGCTAAGGGCACGTACTTCGGTTGCAGTTTGTCCCCGGCCCTGGTTGGTCGTGCGGGTGGCAGCCACTCGATGTGTCCCTTCACGTCAATGTTTCTCTCTCTCTCTCCCTCCCACTCTATCTGTACAAAAAATGGAAAAATATCCTCGGGTGAGGATAAAAAAAAAAAAAAAAAAAAAAAAAAAGGTTATATTCATCTAAATAAAATTTACTTTTAAAGTTACTCTCTTTTTTGTTTGTTTTGTTGTTAATCCTCACCCGAGGATATTTTCCCATTGATTTTTAGACACAGTGGAAGGGAAGGAGGAGGAGAGAGAGAAATATAAATGTGAGAGAGACACATCGACTGGTTACCTCCCTCAGGACCCCGACTGGGGCCAGGGATAGAACATGCAACCCAGTATGTGCCCTTGACCAGAATCAAACCCGACACTTTTTGGTCTAAGGGCCAACGCTCTAGCTGCTGAGTCAAACCAGCCAAGGCCAGTTACTCTTTTATAATTGCAATAAAAAAGAGTTTTAACAAAAATTTTAAAAAAGAAACTTTCAAATATGAAATCAGTCAGTTCTGCAGAAAACTTTTTTTTACTGTTTTATTTTTTTAATTAATTTATTTTTGTTACAGATATTTCTTTTTCCCCCACTGATTCCCCGCCTCTTCCCCGCCCTGTCCCCAGCTTTGTTGTCCATGTCCATTGTTCATGCATACAAGCATGTAAGTTCTGTGGTTTATGTCTCTACCACCACCTCCTGTTCTGGGGATTGTCAGTCCCCACTTCCACATCTCTGGGACTACCCTATTCCTCAGACTGTTATGTTCATTATATTCCACAAATAAGTTGAGATCATATGATACTTGTCTTTCTGTTTGGCTTGTTTTGCTTAGGATAATACTTTCCAGGTCCCCCCATGTCATCTCAAAGGATAAGAGATCTTTCTTTCTTATAGCTGCATAGTACTCCATTGTGTATATGTACCACAGCTTTTTTATCCATTCGTCTACTGGTGGACACTTGGGCTATTTCCAGATCTTAGCTATTGTAAATAGTGCTGCTATAAACATGGGGTACATATATTCTTTCTGACTGGTGTTTCAGGCTTCTTAGGGTATACTCCTAGAAGTGGGAGAGAAAACTCTTTTCCATTTGCTTTTTTAACTGAAAACTCTTTTTTAAAAAATTAAATTACTTAATTTATAAGGTTTCATTTTGTGGTGATTTTTTTTTTTTTAATTTATTTTCTTTATTGCTTTTAGAGAGAGAGGAAGGGAAAGGGAGAGAAGAGATAGAGACATCAATGAGAGAGAACATCGATTGGCCACCTCCTACATGCCCCGACTGGGGACTGGGCCCACAACCTGGGCATGTGCCCTGACTGGGAATCGAACCAGTGACCTCTTCGTGCATGGGTCAATGCTTAACCACTGAGCCACACCGGCTGGGCTGTTTTGTGGTGTTTTTAAGAGTAATAAATTAGAAAGGTATGAAAAAAGCTACTCTTTTATGCAGTGAGTTAATAGTAATATAGCAATTTGGTTTCTTAGCTTTGACAAAGATTTCATGGTTATGACAACAGGGCAACTATGTGAGGAGTATACAGGAACTCTCTGTTCTATCTCTACAACTTTCTGATAAATGTAAAAATACTCCCAAATGGTCCCCCCCCCCAAATTTATGACTCTTGTTAGCTAAAATTTATATTAACTCCCAAAATAAATGGTTAAAAAGTTAAACAGTTCAAATTACTGAATGATCCCCACAAGAGCTAAGAATAAACAAGTTTTTTCTTCTCTGCTTTAAATACATATATATTTCAAATAATCTCTAGTCCATGTGGGTGGTTGATTATACAAGATTCAGCTAGCTTTGTCCTGTTCTCTCCAATCTAATGGCCAATCCCTTCAAACCAACCTATGCCTATCCGTTGTGACCTCAGTTGAACTGCTACAATGCTACACCATTACAACCAGAAAAATGTTTGTACACAAAGTCAGTGTCTACACATATGGCCAATTTAACCTCAAATGTTACCCAGCGTATACAGGCCCTTACATATATACTTTCACTATAACTACCTGCACATTAGACAATCATTTCCCTGACCCATAACCAACTGAGAAGTCCCAGTGCTAGAGCCAAAAGTACCAAAGGCATGAAATGACTGAAAATGAAAAAATCAAAGGGAAGATGAGCTGTGGAAAGATGGCACTGCCCCGTTATACATTTTGGGTAATGGCAACCTTTTACAAATGAAAGTAAACCATTGGTGCCCCTGAAGCTGAAAGCCTACATGATTAATTTTTATCCATTTTCCCTAATAACAATATCTTCCACTCTCTGAATCTCAAATCTAAAAGTTGTCTCTTACTCTTATTCATTCAACCTTGCTATGTTCCAAGCACACCAATATTCATTGCTTCAAACAATTAAATTTCCTTAAATTACAAAATTCTCACACACCCCGTAAGAAAATTACAGTGATCCATAATATAACCATCTAGTACCAAAACTAGTTACTTGGTACATACATATTTCTCTGATATAAAAAACAGAATACTAAACATACTACTTTGTAGGGAAACACACACACACACACAATTTATTGTGAATATCTATAGCATAATGTCTATTGGCTACCTACCAATCTACTGGATAGGTCCTGCATTTTATCTATAAATTTTTCATTACTACCTAAACACTAGAGATCGAATTTATACCTAAGTTGTAATATATAGCCATGATATATGTATGTATATGTGTGTGTGTGTATACATATATATCTATCTCCAAAGGAAGATATATAAACAGATAGATATACACTATATACTATAAACACTATAAAGAACCAATTTATATCTAATTTGTATCTATATCCATACTATATGGATATATATCTCTAAAAGGATATACAGTAGCTTCCTTAGAATAAATATAAAGATGGGAAATAAATGTCCAAAAAAACATTAAAAGAAACTTCATACCATCTACTCAAAAATACTCTGCACAGCGCTGGCCAGTGTGGCTCAGTTGGTTGAATGTCATCCAATGTACCAAAAGGTCTCCAGTTGGATTCCTGGCCAGGGCATACACCAGGGTTACAGGCTGGACTCCTAGCAGAGGAAGTGCAGGAGGCAGCTGATCAATGTTTCCCTCTCGTATCGATGTTTTTCTTTCTCCCTTCCTCTTTAAAATCAATAAAAACATATTTTTAAAAAAAATACTCTTCACAAAGTCTGCAAAGATGTATACTCCACCAGCAGTTTAAAAGAGTCTACTTCACCTGGTTGGTGTGGCTCAGTTGGTTAAGCTTTATCCCATGCACCAAGAGGTCACTGGTTCAATTCCCAGTCAGGGCACATGCCCGGTTGTAGGCTTGATGCCCAGTGGTGGGTGTGCAGGAAACAGCTGTTCAAAGTTTCTCTTTCTCGCCCTGGCCGGTTTGGCTCAGCGGTTAGAGCGTCAGCCTGCGGTCCAGAGAGACCCAGGTTCAGTTCCCGCTGAGGGCATGTACCTCAGTTGCAGTGTGTCCCTGGCCCTGGTTGGGTTGTGCGGGTGGCAACTACTCGATGTGTCCCTTTCACGTCGATGTTTCTCTCTCTCTCTCTCCCTCCCTCTCTATCTGAACAAAATATCAAAAAATGTCCTCGGGTGAGGATAAAAAACAAACAAAGTTTCTCTTTCTCTCCCTCTCCCTACCTCTCTCTTTAAAAAAAAAAAAAAAATCAATAAAAGCATATCTTAAAATAAAGAGTCTGCTTCCTCAAAATTTTTCTAACTTTAACAAATGCCAATTTAATAATTTTAAAATGTTCTGTATTTGGTTTAATTTTTATTTCTTTTTTAATTTCTTATATCACTGGTAAGAGTAAACTTTTATTTTATTTTATTGTTTTAGCAAATAATTTATAATTTTTCCAGAGTATTTGAACTGTACTTTGTCCTAACGTCTGGGACTTAAAGCAGCTCAGGTGGGGGCAGTCAGAAACAGGTCCTAGCAGGTACAGGCAGCAGTAAGGCTCACCCCCATGGTGGCCCATGGAAGGGTGTTGAAGGAAGGGTAAACTTTAAAAAATATACTTACTAATATGGCAGTGATAAAAAGACTACAAAGAGACAGACATTTTAATTTTGCAACCAACAACGTAAATATTAGTTCAGGAAAGAATAATCAATGAATGCTAGGGGGGAAGTTTTATGAGGAGCAGGCACTTTGCACATGGTCTCTAAGTGCCTCCACAAGATTGTTTTTTAGTTGCTAGACAAAACATAGTAACAATAAATCAGAGGAAATGGGCAAAACCTGCAGTGATTAAAATCAACATCCTCCATGAAGAGCCGATAGATATGTGATACCACGTGTGGTACTTTGAGAAATACTCAGTATCAGTTATATAGTATTCCAATCAGGGATCTAGCCCTGGCCAGTTTGGAACAGTGGTTAAAGCGTTGGCCCGCGGACTGGAGAGTCCCGGGTTTGGTTCTCACTAAGGGCACATACCTCAGTTGCAGTTTGTCCCCGGCCCCAGTTGGGGTCATGTGGGTAGCAGCCAATCGATGTGTCTCTCTCACATCGATGTTTCTCTCTCTCTCTCTTCCTCCCTCTCTCCCTCCAGCTCTATCCGAAGATAAATGCAATCAGGGATCTACAACCTGAATATAATTATGAGGATACATTAGACAACTAAAATTGAAGAACATTTTATATAATACCTGGACTATATTTCTTTAAAAGCACTAACATTATGGATAGCACAAAAAGGCTA